TCAGAGACCTTCCTCTGTCCTCAGAGCCCACTTCCTTCTGGTAAGAGGTCATCTCCTTGCCTCCTCTCCTAGATGACCTCGTGCTGCCTCTCTCGTGGGCCCACAGCTTGAAGGCAGGCTGCAGGCCAGCTTGGCCTCCAGCCTGGTTGGGGCAAGGAGGGGCACAACTCTATTCAAGTCAGAAATGACCCCTCGATGACCATGTAGTAAACCTGTACTGTGTTTGAGAGAAATCTAGCGTTTAAGGGACTCTCCAGGGAAGGTCAGATTCACCAAGACGACATCTGGGATCACACACCTTTCAGTTTGTGGTTGCAAGGAGTGCTCAGAGGCCACACCGTCGTTCCCATAAAGACTCAGTGAGTTTTACCAAACAGTCAACATCCCAGTCACCTCCCTTTGTTCCCGAGGTGACGTGTTTTTTTCCCCATAATCAAGTGAGGCGAAGCCTCTGCAGCGAACGGCTTGTTCCGAGAGTCGTGCCCCAGTACAAGGTTTCATTTGTTTAAATAAGACTGTTTATACAATGGGCACATCAAAGTTAGAATCCTTTAAATAGAATAATGCCAAAATATTTGGTTGCAAACTGAAAGATGTCTTAAATGCGTTGGGGTATTTTGGTTTTTCAAAACCTTGAGCTTTGAGATGGAAGTGTTTTTCCAGCCGAGGTCTCTCCTCCAAGTTGGTCTGGGAAATGAACAAGCCTTTAAAAACCAACGATGGTCCTCTTTTGTGGTTGGCAAGGATTTTACTATCAAAGTTAATACTAATGAGGGCCATTTGTGTAGCTGACATTCTGCCAAGCTTTTTATAGGATGAAGAACAAAGTGATATAACATTAAGTCTTAATTTAGGGAACAAATCCAAACCCAAACGCCTCTCTTCCCCTGAGTTCGGGGATGGAGGCAGCTTTGGGCTTCTTGGTTCCCTCGGGGAGCTGACCTGCCTGGGCCAGGTTCAAAGCCTCTGCAGAGTTTTTGAGGCCAGGCTCAGTGAGGTGCTTGGCTCCCGCTGTCCCTCAATGGCCTAGTGTTGATAAAGTGAGACTTTACAGAAGAATATTGCACCAAAAGGCCTGGAATTCCGAATTCAGTTGGAAGGGACAGGACTAGTTGCTCTGGTTTGGAAAGTATAAGTTTGCCCTTTTCTGGTTTCCAAAAATTATATCCAGGCAAAACGTTCAGCATAAGTATTTATATTCGTTTTGGTTTTTTTTTTTTTTTGCTGTATTTTTCAATAAGAAGAAAGGGAACCTTTCAGCTCAATAAGAAGCACTTATGGCCTGAACTTGGGGCTTTAATAAATATGTCCATGTTAACAGCGAGGTATGAGGGAGGTTTTCCCATCAGAAGGGGAAGTTCTCATTAACTACACCCTTTGGTTTAACACATCAAACACCAACTGACCAATTCCCAGGTGCCAGGAAGCCTTTCAGTTCAAGGTCAATGATTTGTTCCCTGCATCGCCCTGAAAAGGCCAAGTGGAATTTAAAATAAGAAAAAGGGACTAAACATTCTCATAATGAAGTACAAGTATGTCCCAAACATTATGGAGGACTGCTTATACTAAAAATGTATTCACTATTTATCTGATATTCAAGTTTAACGGAGTGTTCTGTGTTGTGTATGGCAAGCAATGCCAGAGGACAGAGCTATGCAGTACAGCATCTTATAAAGGAGGGAGCATGTTTCTCAGAGACTTTGGAAGTATATGGTAATAAATAAGAACATTAAAAAGGCTGATTCAAATCATTATCATCACTCTAGTCACATTGAATGACGTAATTTATCATGTGCTATAAGGTAATGAGTCTGTAAACCAGTGTAAGTTGAACTTTTGTAACTCACATGTGTTCCCATGCGTTTAGGTTAAAATTTCAGTAATGTTTCATCCTCGTTTATGATTAATCTTCAGTTGATTCTTCATAGATTTTAGCTTCCTATGTTCCCAGGTTTTTAAGTTAATGATCTATTCGGGGGATTCTTAAACCAGGGACCCCACTGTGCGAGTCCTTTTGTAAAACAAAGAGTCTTTTTTTGGGGGGGAATTTGAAGACTTTTCTTGTATTTTGATTAATCACCTCTACTATCTCAGTTTTAGAAGTCTGAGCATGGATTTTTCAAATTGAGCACACCTAATTTCCTCTTTTATAGCTTATTACTGAAAAAAAACCACAAACAGCATAAGCAGCTCATTTTTCAAAGTAGCTAATTTCTTTAAATCAGAGGGATTTAAAGTTTTGTTTTAAGAAAACAGAAGACTTCCAGAGGAAGTCCAGTCAGAGTGTGCTCAGGGGAAATGACAAATTCGGAGTGCTCTCCCGTTCTCTGCCCGACCCCACAGTAGGGACAGGTGACCCCCGGGGTGGGGCCCCTTCTGCACACTCAGGGCAGGGTGGGCCTGCCAGCTGACACTTGGAAGCCGCAGGAAGCGGGCCTGGCAGGGAAGGTGGGCTTGGGGAAGATTGTTCTGCTCAGCTCTCAAATGGGGAGTGACCGGGCCGTCCTGCAGGGCCTCGCAGCCTCTAGGGTGAGGGGCGCTGTTTATTTTGGAGCCTTCCATCTCCCCATGGGTGGAAGGGGTCATGGCAGAAGTCCAAGGACTCGTTCTTTCCCCTCTTAATGTGAATTAGTTCATTCATAAGTTATTGTGGGCCTCCAGGAACCAGACCCTGTTTAAACCCTTGGGATCGACTGGTGAGCGAGCCAGGCCGCCTGGTCCCTGCACGCTCAAGGTCACATTCGATCAGAGCAGACAAGCAATAAATCACAGACTCAAGAAATAAGTCACACATGCCCGGTGTCAGAAGGAAGTGTCAGGAGGGCAGCAGGGTCTGAATGTGGGTCTGGGGAGGAACTGCGTTCAAAATGAGGGAAGTCTGGGTGGGACTTGGCAGTGGGGACATTTCAGCGAGACATGGAGGGGACATGGGAAGTCTGCCACGGGGTGCTCTGAGGAACCGTGTCCCAGGCAGGAGGAAGACAGCCCAAGTCCCTGTCTGTGTCCGAACTATGGTTCTCAGCCCATGACATTTTGTCTCAGGAGACATTTGGCAATGTCTGGAGGCACTTTAGTTTGTCACTACTGAGGGGCTGGGGATACTACTGGCATCTCTTGGCTAGAGGCCAGAGATGCAGCCAATCATCCTGAAAAGCACAGGACAGCCCCCCACACAAAGAATGAAGGGTCCAGCCCAAAACCTGAAGTTGAGAGGCCCTGTGTTGGAAGAACAGTGAGGAGAAGACAAGGTCAGAGGTAGCAGAGGCTGGGGGATTGGCGTGGCCAGGTCAGGTAGGGCCTTAGACTCCTTGTGGACTTTGGCTTTGCCCCCAAGAGAAATGGGGAACCCCTAGTGGGTCTGGGGCAGAGGAGGGGCATGACCAGTGGTGAGCACCACGCTGGCTGCAGGTGGAAATCAGGCTGAAGGAGGGAAGGCCAGGATGAGGGAGCTACCCAGGCAGGAGGGGTGGGGCTCAGACTTGGGGCGGGGGAAGCAGCCGCAAACTGTAGACACCAGTACAGAGGTGCTCTGGGGACTCACGGGGTCCCCACTCTGCTCATTGCTACAGATCATAATTCTTCCATGTGTTATCTGTATCTAGACAGATAGATGGGGGTGGTTCGATCACATGAGCTGGGTTTTGTTTTATGCAGTAGGATACCCGAGGTCTTTTTTAGCAATCGGTTCATGACCAAACAATTTGATGTGGGTTAGGCACAGCGTGATCATTCTCTGCTTTAACTTGGTCTCTGCCAAAAACATTGATTGACTCTTGCTGACAACTCTTTTTTCCAAGAGTGGTACATTTCTCCAAGCCGCGCGTAATGCTGAACGGACTAAATTACCTGCAAATGGGATGAGGGGAGCATGAAACCTCCAGAACCTAATAAACAGGCATTGGAGTTGCTTCCCTCTTTGAGAAATGTATTAAACTGTTCAGATGGTGCCTCTTCTCTTGACCAGCCAAAGCAAGGGCTGAACCGCAGCGGAAAACCCCAAGAGGCAGCTAATTCCTGCCTTTCCCCAGAGGTCTCAGGCATCACAGCAAGGACCTTGTCATTCCTCCCTATGAGGGAGGAATGTGCACGTTGTGTCCTGTTTGCAACCTAAGACAGGGGAGGTATGTGACAGTCTGCAGCTCAGGCCCGCCGCCCCTGCCCCCAGGGTCAATTTCATCTCGTTCCACCTAGTGCTATGAAACCTTTTAATGATCAACTCACAGTATTACCATATTTTTTAATCTCATGCTGTTCCAAGGAGGTGGTAAATCAGCGTCTTCATTACTGAAAAGTAGGCTGTTTTTCAGCCTCTTAATGCTTTTTAAGGAAGTTTAAAAATATAGTTGCACTCACAAGCTTTTCATTTGTTCTATCAAAATGACTCTGGTCCCTGGGACCTGTACAGAGCTGTTAAATTGGGCAGATTTCAGGGACGAGCACTTGGCGGCAGCAGTGTAGGATGACCCCCCATCCACGGTGACCCTTTGGTCAGGATCCCCCCGGCACAGCCCACAGGTCGCTGCGTCCGAATTCCTCCAGGGCTCGCTGGCCTCCCCGCACCTGTCACCAAGGGTGGCGCTCTGCCCCAGTGAGCATCCCGGCTGTTCTCGACCCTCAGCTCTAGGCTCTGCTCTCAGACGGGAAAACTGGACATGCAGGATTGGCCAGCTCACAGCCACCTCAGTGCAGTCTTGTGAAAAGTGACAGGTGTTATGTGAATGGAAACCACGCCCCTAAGGATTTGTTCTCTACCAGGGAGTGTATCCCCCACCATGTCAGTCTCCCCTTTCGAAGGGGTCGTTTTCCTTCCTCAGAGTCTCAGAGGGGGCACGTTAGCCTGCTCTCGGGGTGACGGTGGCCCCTGAGCTGGCCACTGAGGTTGCCCACCTTGCTCTGGGTCAAAGCCGTGGTTGACTCTGGGAGGCCCTTTGATCTAGAAGATGGTCTTGAAATAACCATTGTTGTTGTCTCACGTTTTCTGTTGTGTTCTTGTCCAACAGCCAATATGCCGGAGGATTACCCTGATCAATTTGATGACGTCATGGATTTTATCCAAGCCACCATTAAGAGACTGAAAAGGACCCCAGACAAACAAATGGCTGTGCTTCCTAGAAGAGAGCGACACCGGCAGGCCACGGCCGCCGGCCTGGACAACCCCAGGGGGAAGGGCCGGCGGGGCCAGAGGGGCAGGAACCGGGGCTGCGTCCTGACCGCTGTCCACCTGAACGTCACCGACTTGGGTCTGGGCTACGAAACCAAGGAGGAACTGATCTTCCGGTATTGCAGCGGCTCCTGTGAGGCTGCCGAGACAACATACGACAAAATACTGAAAAACTTATCCAAAAACAGAAGGCTGGTGAGTGACAAGGTGGGGCAGGCCTGTTGCAGACCCATCGCCTTCGACGACGACCTGTCGTTTTTAGACGATAACCTGGTTTACCATATTCTAAGGAAGCATTCCGCTAAAAGGTGTGGATGTATCTGACCCCTGCTCCAGAGACCGCGGCGCATTGCATTCCTGCTACCGTGCGAAGAAGGGGACCAAGGTTCCCAGGAAACGTTCGCCCAGATGGAAGATGAGGACCAAGGTGGAGGAGGAGGAGGAGGAGGAGGAAGGCAGCCATTGGGGGAGTTTGGTATGGAGAGATCCAGCTGCAGAAACCTGGACAGGAGAGGGAGAAAACGGCCATCTGGATTCTCCCGAACGGCGGCCGTTGTCAACAGAAGCTCAGGACTGGTGTCCCTGGTTGGGTGTTACCATGGTTCCACCTGATACAGTCCACCGTCCACCGTCACTGGTCTCGGGCACAGTCGCAGATGCACTTGAAACCAGACCAGTGTGTCTCCTGTGGTTTGTTTCCGCACATCTGGAGACACCGGGGAAACGTAATCCTGGTGTCGTTCCTTGTCGTTACGTTTTACTGCTGAAAGCAGGAAAGGTTTATTTTTCTGTCACTCAGTGGAGACAAGCCCCAGAAAGAAGGGGAGAAAAAAAGCAAAGACACAAGTCACAGTAACCTTGGAATCTGAAAGTGAAGGCCTGAGGTTTACTACAACCAGCATGTTGTAAACGGCTGGTGATTCATTTTGAACTTGGTGTGTGGGGTGGGAAGAAGTCGGCTAGGAACCAGAAAGGCTGTCCTCACGACTGAAAACCAACCCGAAGGTATTGCCTTTCTGGCCCTGGAAACAGGAGACCAGTTGGGGTTTTCGGCAGCATTCTTGCAGGAGAGCAAATGGGGAAGCCCCACCGCCCAGGGGCGAGGAGGCCACTGGCCCGTTCGTTTACAGAGAGACGGATGTTACATACACCCCAGCTCCGTTTATGCATGGTCACCAGTGACCAGAGAAGCTACTCGATGCAATGCATCCATTTCAGATACAGAAATAGAGAGAAGATATTTATTGAGATTTAAGTTATTGTTATTTATTGCCGTTCACTAATGAATTTCTCTTTCTTCCCTTATTTATTAAAGTTTCTTTTCAAAGGTGCCAAAGTATATGTGCTCGCAAAATGCAAAGAAGGGTGACGAAGGAAATTTCAATTGGGAACAAGGGTCCATGCTTTTCAAAGCATTGAAACATTTTCACTAGGCAAAAATCACTTACTTTACCTTTTAAAGAAAAGCCCTCATTAATTTCCCCAGATTTCAGCGTCTTCCCAATTTTCCATTTTTTATAGAAGAAATGTATCTGAAGGGCCATCTGTGTCTGTGGTGTCCTTCCCCGGAGCCGTGTGCAGAGGTGGTTGGCACTCGATTTATTTCTTCGCTGCTCCAGCTCTGAACAGAAATGCCACATGCTCCATGTTCTGTTGTATTTAAGCTCTTACCCCGACCACATGTACCTGTGATATGCTTAACCGCACACATGAACGGTTCAACTCCTTGTAGTAGGTAGTTCTGCATCCCATGCCGACCCAAAAGCGGAAGTCCTGTCAGGTGGCCAGGTTCCACCCTGAGTGGGGACTCTTCCTCCGTCCTCCCCACGGTCCCTGAGACACGCGCCAGTGCCAGGTGCAGCCAAGGAGCATGCTGCCGCTTGAACTGGGCTCTGCTGGTGGCCATGAAGGCCCCGGGGCTGTCTTCTCTGGGTCACCGCCGCTGCCATCCCTGTATACCTGATCCCTCCCCTGGAAGATGGCAGCCTGGAAGGGTGGGCGAGCGAGACATGTCTGGCCTGGCCACTGGCCAAGCCTGGTGCCAGCTTGATGATGAACATCTTGGGGGGAGGGGAAGAGCCCCTCCCAAGCGCCCCAGGCCGCGGGTGCGCTGGGCCCTACAATGGAGACCGCTGCGCCTCCTTCAAATCAGTGTGTTAATTTCACCAAGTAACAGAGAGGCAGCAGTTACCAGGCATCTCCTCCCTCCGGCCCCCAGACACCCTAGTTCTCTCTCACCCTCCCCTCTCTGCCCTTTGGCTTCTCTTGTTGGGCTTGGAAACAGAGGAAAAGGGCCCCCCCCCTTGCCCTCTCCGGGGGCCAGAAGTGAGGGGACCTTGCCAAGGAGCCGTCACTCAGCACAGTAGCCGACCCAACTGTCTGGTCATTCAGGCAGCACAGTTTGATGTCTCCCCAGGGTCATCTGTCTGATTCAGAGACTCCTGGAAGGCTTAGTGGCTGGTGTCCCCAGGTGACAACTCAGCCAGCCCCCAGCTCCCAACAGAGCGTCCCTACCCAGAGGGGTCGTCGGGTTCCATGGTGTTGACAACTCCTTCCCAGCATCACCTGCACACCACAGGCAGGTCTCAACCCAGACAAATCGCTCCACCAAATCCGCAAAAGGGTAAAGTCTGTGATTTTTCTTTGTCGTTGTGATTACCACCTGATTCAGTAAGGAGTGCCCTTCTTTGGAAGTTCTGACTTCTCTGATCTGTCTTGGTCGTTTGTGTTATTCAACCAAAGTTCTCTACAGACTTTATTTTTGTACAATATCATTTTGTAACTTTTTACAAATAAAAACTCATTTCTATTGCTCTCTGTACTTCTGTACTTCCTCACACGTCAAGGGACTACCACTGGGCCAGGCAGCCAGGCAAAAGCTTCCAGGATGGCTGGAAGGCCTTCCCCACCTCTCGCCACCACAGCCTGCTGGTTGGTCATTGGCCTTGTCTATCAACTCTCCACAACCAATCACTACCCAAGGAGGAAAAAAAACCTTCCTTTGTTCAAAACAAATACTTAAGGGTGCCTACACTGTTCAAGGCACTAGCCATCCAAAAGTGGAGCTGATGTGTCATTTGAGTGGAGGAGGAACTATACAAAAAAGTAAAAATATGTAGTGATCCAGGTGGTAGTAAGTACTATAAGGAATCCAAAAAGGACCCTCGCTGGTGTGGCTCAGTGGATTGAGCAACCGGCCTGCCAACTGAAAGATCACCTGTTTGATTCCACATCAGGGCACGTGCCTGGGTTGCAGGCCAGGTCCCCAGTGGAGGGCATGCGTGTGAGAGGCAACCAGTCGATGTATCTCTCACACACTAATGTTTCTCTCCCTCTCTTTCTCTCTCCCTTCCCCTAAGTTTGGAAAACTTTGAGTTAAACAAGATCAAACAATGTTTTTTAAATTAAAAAGAGAAGTGTGGAGCTTCTCAGAGCCTTTATCGGACTAACCACCAATGTGACAGTCTGGGGTGGGGGTTGTAACATGCAGAATGCCCCAGGTGGGTGGTCCCCATGAAACTGCCCACTGTACTGTTTTCTTTCTCATGACACCTGTTGACTGTCCCTGGAAACTAACCTTGGACCCTGTTTCCTGCTCCTTTAAGCATCGGGATGAAGGAGACGGAGCTAGAGATCAGTAAGAGGCAGAACCTACTGGGCAGCTCCAGGGGAAGGACAGCTCCCCCCACACACCACTGGGGCACTGTGGTTTCTTGCTCAGCATGATTAACCAGCGGTCAGCTTGGGGAATTTCACTTCCCAAAGGAGAATGCAGAACAAATTTCTCCGGAGAGAGGGAGAATGTGTTGAAAGCCAGGGAATTCTAATCAATCGGAAAGGGTGCTTTCCCCTTGCATCCTGGGAGCCCCCACTGGATTCCAACGGCTTTGAACAGCCAGGGCTCGGGCCGGTCCGCTGTATCGAGGGACCAAGCGCCCCTCGCACTGGTCTCCGGGCGGGTTGCTGCCTTCCTCGGGCTTCTAGCTCTGAATCCTGTCCTTGTGCCTGGCAGGTGTCAGAGCAATGAGTCTGGAGCCTCACACAGGGGCTGACAGTCTCATGTGGACGGTGCCAGGAGATCTTTTGGGGCCGTTTTCTTCCAGAGTAGCCAGTACTGAGCAAAGCAAAGGTTTAAAAGAACTTTAAAAAGAATCAACCCAAGGTAAAGGTGGAAAGTCAGAATTTTCTAAGCTAAGTCTCACAATAAAGAAAGGCTCCTGGACACCCTTCCCATGCAGGGGCCTGCTGGAGCCACTGCTGATTTGCTATTCGACTCAGAATGACAGGGAGGAGGGAGCCTGAGACCCACACTGTCCCCCTTGGCTTCTCAGGACCAGGGCAGGGAGGGAGCACCAGCAGCAGCCACAGACTGGGGCTCCGGCTTCCCTCCGTCAGGTAATGAGCCGTTGGAGCCCAGAATGTGTTCTCAGGACACCACTTGGTTAACAGAAGTGTGACCGTCATCCCATGCAGGAGTTAACTTGACTTTTGTCTCATGACACAACATCCTGAGTGAAATCAAAACCGAATGTTGCCAAGTCATCCCTGAAGGTAACTGGATAGTGAGAGAAATAAAGGGAAGGCACCACTTACTCACATGTGACAACTGAGGCCTTGCCACATCCCTCCCATGGCAGGTGAGGGCACCGATGACACCAACGGGCGGAGGCCGTGTGGCGACAGGTGCAGAGGGAGTGCTGGACGGCCTTGGCGAGCAGCAGGTGCGAAGGGACTCTGAACAGACAGGGGGCCAGGCTGGGCCTGACTCCCCGATAAACACGCACCATTTCCTCCCGTCTTTCTGTCTCATGCAAAACAGGGGATACGCGCTGTTTGGGACAGACTTAGGCCAAAATGATTACTCATTGTTTATCTGAAATTCAGCTGGGCAGCCTGTGTTTTAATTTGCTAAATCTGGCAAGAGAAAGTGACATTTGAGCCTGGCCTTGAGTATGAGCAGGAATCTGTCAGGTGGACGGGGACAAAGGGTGGAGTTGGGATGAGGGACAGACATTCCAGGTGGAAGGAACAGTGCGACCCAAAAAGACAGACAAGCCCCCGTGTGGTCCAGGAGCCGTGGGTGGGGGGCGGGGGGCTGGCTCGGGCACCGCGGGCACTTCACCAGAGGCCACGGGACTTTTACCAGTCCACAGAGTGCTTGAATTTTGATATTTTTAAAATCTGAAAAAATTAAATATAGCAATAATGAATATACAATAGCAAATCCAGCCCGGATTACATTCCTCCTTCTATACCAAAGCAGCCGTATAATTTCCAATATATTTTTATAAAGAAAGGACCCAGAAGGGTCCTAATGCAGCCCTGAGCCCACCGCTAATAAACTTCCTATGTCTCTCCCTGCCATTTCCATCCGATTTTCCCGTCCTCCTTCCTCCACCAAAGCCAACATCTTCTAGAAAAAAAACCCAAACAAACAAAACCTCTTCCCACTCTTCCAGGCAGTCACCTCAAGATATTTGCATTTACTTCCTACTCAGGGAAGCAAACTTAAGGGCAGGCCATTCACATTCCAAGACACATTCACATCCTAGCTGAGAAAGGACACCATGAGCCAGGTGACCGCGGCGGCCAGCAGTCCAGTCCAGGCGAGGATACCAAGAGAGGGGCAGGCCGACTGCGAGAGGGCGGTGAGAGGAGAGAAGACTGCAGGCTCCGGGGAATGAGGGAGCCAGCAGACCACGAGCAAGGACAAGGTGTTTTAACAGGCGGACTGGGTTACTTTAATTTGGGAAATCCTTGTGAGGGGGCTATGATGTCGGGGATTTTAACCCTCCCCTGCTCCATGCCTGGGCCTCATTCGATCAATTAATTATTGAGCACCTACCTTCTACCAGGGGAGGATATAAAGATAAAGCTCTAACCTCGGGGGTCGCAGAGGGACAGAAATAGAGAATTAGAATACGCGTGTGGAAAGGCTCTGGCCCGCGGCTCAGTTGGAGTGTGGTTGCAGTAACGCCAAGCCACCGGGTTCAAGCCCTGGTCAGGGCACATACAAGAAGCAACCAGTGAGTGCATCCATGGACGGAACAACAAATCGGTGTTTCTCTTTCTCTCCCCCCTTTCTTCTCTACCTAAAATTGATCAATAAGTAAAACATTTAAAATATATGTGATGAGGGCAGTAATAAAAATTGTCTGTGATGGGAGTTTTGAGTGAGGACAGCTGAGGCTGGGGAACAGGGGAAAGCATCAGGGTCTGCTTCTGCTCCCCTTCAGACCTCCGCCCCCCGAAACCGCTCCCTGGAGCCCCATCTGCCAAGGCTTTGCCTGCACTGTGTCCGGTCCCCCACAAAAGGCCCTTCCCAGGGTCATCTGCCTTCCACGGGGGCTCAGGAGAACTGACAAGGCGTCTGTCCAGACCAGCCTTTCCCAAACCACCTATGGGACACTAGGAGGTTCAAATATCGAGAAAACGCTGTACACGCTGGTCCCTTCTCAGGCAGACAACACACGTTAGCACATTAAACCACGCCCGGAAAGGGCCCTGCAGAGGAAAAACCTGTTTGTCTGTTTGTTTGTTTGACCCAGCATCTCACATTCTTCTCTGACCGAGGAGCACCTGTGGACACCTCACAGGAGAGTTCTGCTGCGCACAACTTGGAAAATGCTATTTTAGAACCAAAGGAATGAATCTCTAATAGAAGAACTGCAGCCACCAGAAGGTAAGTCATTTCTGGGCAGGGGGATCTTCCTAGCCCACCATCAGTACGAGGCACCCTTGGCCTGAAGGACCAGACAATGACCACCACATTTTTCTTACGTGCAGCAGTGGGACTGGTCCAGTGAGCAGCCAAACCAGCCTTGTTCCTGCTTCTCCAGGAGCCTGAGCCTCAGCGGGGCAGCCAACACTCCCCCCATCCTCGTTTCCCAGCCGCCCTCCACCCTAACCCCTCCTGCTGGCCCTGCCGTGGTGTGCTACTGTTGGGCGGGAAGATGTGCCAAGAAATGTTCATCTTTGCCACACACACAGAGAAATCCGTCTTTGTGGTCATCATTAGAGCTGTTTCCCCAGCGATTACTGATCCCTTCCACTCCCAGCCTTGTGGTTCCCAGGGTTGACAGAGGCTGGTGACAGGACGAAGGCCACGAGCATTCATGATGTGTTTCTGAGTAAGACTCAGGAGAATCTGTTTCTCTTCTCATAGGACAGCCACCTGCGATGTGCAAGATGGCTGTTCTCCCCACCTGGAGTGACTGTGCTGAACAGAGCCACTCTAACAACCCATGACAGTCGTTGGCACGGTGAATGAGAGATGACCGACCCTTTGCTGGGGGAGCCACTAGGAGCGGGAGGCTATTTGTTCCTGCAATGCATCTTAGCTTATTCCGTGGGTACAGGCTTTTATGAGGATGGGGCACGTCACAAGCGTGAGGAAGAAGACCAGTCCGTGGCGGGAGAGAGCATGTGGGGCCAGAAAGGCTCAAAGGGACGGGAAAGTTACAGCAAGTGAAGTTGAAGAGGCAGCCACTGACCAGATCATGACAAGTCAGGTCAAGTCCACAGAGCCATGATAGGTGTTTACAATTTTATTCTGAAGGTTATCAGTGGGGAAGGGGAGAGGTGGGGGTAAAGGTACAGGAAATAAGAAGCATAGGTGACAGGTACAAAACAGACAGGGAGAGGTTAAGAGTAGTATGGGAAATGTAGAAGCCAAAGAACTTACATGTATGATCCATGGACATGAACCAAGGGGGGTGGGATGTGGGTGGG